AGATATGGAACCAAGCCTAAGTCGATCCTGGAGCCGAGAACTGTGCATGTCACAAATTGGACGAAATGAACACAAGGCTGGCATAAAAAAAACACTGCATAATCCCTTTTTACAGTCTAATTTGCTTAGTTATCCATTTTATAATGTTGAACAACATTTTTTTTAAAGTCCAAAGCATTAAGGAGGTCACATGACCGTTTTGCGTTTTCCTCAAGAATGTAAGGGTTGTGTGGGTTCCCTCTGATTGAAATCCAAGTTAATAAAATAGTTTATCTTTCAAATCCATATATATTGGGTTTTTGATAACAAAAACAATTTAACCATCTCTAAAGATCTGTAAGTGCCATATCATATTTCATAATGATAATTAAATTTTGCATGGATGCGAGGCTTAACCCCACTTACCTTAAATCGTTAAACTTATTCAAAGTGCTCTATGTGCATCTGCTGCCACATGGGCATGAATCTGTACATGCCAAATTTGCCTTTGTACACTTGCATCACCCAGCACAGGCTTCTGCATTTACACTTGATAAGTTCACAGCATGTGTCCTTTGCTGGGGGAGCATGGTCCACAACAGTAACCACTGACTTTCATCACACTTCCATCCCCAATCTGCAGGGCTGGGGAGATCTGGTGTCTTAAGAAAATAAATAAATCTTAATGGTGCATTATAACTTTTAAGGTGGGGGGTCCACAACCTGCTTCTTTCATGAAGATATTATAGCCAAAGGCTGGAATCTTTCATGCTATGGCATTACACATACCAGTCTTATGTTTATTCAGTTAAGGATTGAAAATGTGTTTATTGCTCCAATACCTAAAATGCAGACATTCTTACATTTAACAGGGTCTCATGCTTGTGTTACGGCCCCAGGCCTTAGATTGTCATTTGTTCTGTGTGTTCTAAATAAGTCTGACACACCTGGATTCCTGCTGCAGGAGCCCTGGTCCGTGATTGGTGGGGCAGGTCGACGCCCACCTCACCTGCAGCCACCGCCCCCTATTTAAGGAGATGACCAGCACCTGTTCGGGGCTGCTGGCCTTGGTGGACAGTCTGCCATTTTGGTTTTCGTGTGTGTAGTTTAGTCTCGTTCTGTTTTGTGCCTTTTTTGATTTGGTCACTCAATTCTGTTTGTGGGTTTATGTGGTTTAATTTGGGGAACTTGTGTTTTGGTTTAGTGTTTGTCCCTAAGTTTTACCACTCGTTTTTGTATAAGCCTGCGTGACCCCTTTTCTGGCACAAAACTGTTTATTCTGTTGTTCTGTTTCTTAGTTTAGGTTATTTTCTGTATATTTTAGTGTCTCTTGTTAATTTACCTTTACATTCCTGTTAATTAAACATGATTAAATGGTGATGGCACACACCAAATTCAAAATAAAGTCAAAGACAATGTAAGAGCAGATGTTGCTAATTGCTAATTTAACATTCATTAACATTAATGCATAGAGATTTTTGGGCATACATTTGTTAGTAGTATTAAAGATGTACTATGTAACTTTTCTGCTGGGAGAGATAATGGCAGTGTTATATTGTTCTTCAGTATGGCATTAAACTTGTCTGTCACCATGGAGACAAGACATTGGCACAACCAGGCCATGTTTACAGGTCAGATCTATGGAGAGGTGGTTATATAGGTTTTAAGGTTATATAAATAGGTTTAATGCTATACTGCCGAATAATTCAGGCAAAACAATGAAATCTCCATAGTAACTAAGGACTAAAGAAGAGAGTGAAAGGAGAGAGGGGCGAGGCTAGGGCGTATAAGGAACAGTGTGATTGGTCTAGGTATCCACAAACCAAACTCCTGACTGGAATGTTCCACAGTATGACATTAAACAGCTCTACTTCAGATTTATTAAATTACAGGTGGTTTTGTAGCTCAAAAATACCCCAAAAACAGGCGTTCTGACTGTGAGCAGGGTTACCTCTCCAAAGATCTGACCCGTAACTTAGCCTTTTTGGGCTCCATGAAGATAGAAAGTTTTACCATACTGTTAAACATTCCAGGCAATGCAATAACATCTCCATGGAGACCAGAAAAGTTACACAATATACCTTTAAAAAAAAAACATCAATTCAGTAGCAATTTTTTTGATGTTATTTAATGTTTACTTTCACTTTAAAAACAGCATTGAAAACCGCTTTGCACTAGCTACTATCTTGATACATATTCGTCTTTATAACCTATATGATAATTAAACATTATTTTCCAAAAAAGGCAGTTTAAGCTGGGGACAAGACACTGGATGTCCAACGATGCAGCAGAGGGTCTTTTTCTTGAGTTTCCACAAGCACCAGTGTGCATTTGTTCCAGGCAAGTTTAACCTTACATATAGAACATTTTGTTATTGGATGCTGTGTTATATTGTTATAATGTTGCAATGTGCTGAAATCAGTGATCCTGTTTTTTGTCTTATCAGGGTGAAGATGCAATGCATTACACACTCAAATGTGTATGCTTGAGGGTGTGTCGAGGTGGAACATCAACCGCTTAGCACAAGCACTTGCCATGAGTGAAACATCCAGGACAAAAATATATGACATACGTTTGCTGTCCAGTGGAAATGTGCTGAGCAACAGAGTCTTGGGAAGACCCCTCATTCCCGAGTTTATTCCCCCCAGGAAACCTACTGGTAAGAAAGAAGACTGCTGTTGGTAATAACCAAATGTAAGCTGTGACTTGGAAATTAAAGAATCTTTTTTCTCCCCTAATTACAGGAGAGCACTTTGCTGTGGAGTACCTTCTGGCACAATCAAACAGAGGAGATTTTGTGAGCCAGCAGGCTGATCTTTGATGAAATCCTGGAATGTGCAGATGTGACCGTGCCACACATCGCGGACATTACATTTCAGGTAACATGATGTAAATAAATAAATTTAAATTCTCTTTTTTTTTAATGTACAACTGACACAAGCTTTATTTTATTAATCTTATTAATATTAATCTGCGTGTGTGTGTGTATATATATATATATATATATATATATATATATATATATGTGTGTGTGTGTATATGTATATGTAATATATATATATATATATTAATTAATTAATATTATTTTATTAATCTTGCCAGGAATCTGAAAGTGGTGGTCCCCAATACTCATTTGTGGACAGCAATGAGCTCTTCCAAGGCCGAGTTGAGGAGAGTGATGCCACTGCCAGGACCGTCCAAACCCCATTTCAGGACAGTGGGCCTGTCACCACAGCTCTGGTATAATGGATAAATATCTTATTTTCTAATCTAATTTAATCTGGTCTACACTCATCTAATTATCATTGGAAATGTGAGTTTATTTATATTTTTTTCTTACCAGAGGCTTATAATTTGGTTTTATTGTTTATTTTATTTGTGACAGGACACAAATTCTGATTCCAGAGATGTAATGAGGACTGTAATATGTGGAAACTTGATCAGGGTCAGGACAGCAATAATAGAAGTTCAGCTTTAACTTCTTAGGTTCTTAAAGTATATAAGAAGACATAATGAACATCATTGGCTTAATAGAAGTTCAGGTGAGTTAGTAGAATGAGGGAATCCACATCCAGGTAGAAGCAAATCGTTTCTTTTAATTTGAGTGCGTAAAGACATGTGTGGTTCTCTACAAGAGAAAGAATAAACAAATACAAGTAATATGTTAATAATAAATCAAAATGGTGGTTACATAACAGATGACCTTGTGATTATTTACATAATACTGCAGATTACAAAGTGGCTGATAGGGGGCCAGTATGGTCGGTGCATTTGTAATATAAATGGATTTAAATTAAATTACCCAGGTTTAATACAGAGGAAAATGCATGTATATAGAACAGATGGCTACTGGGGATTTGTGAAATAAAGGAAATAGGCATTACAATGGTATTCTAAACTACACACTTAAGGATGCGCAATTACACAGCCATGAGGCAAGCTCGCAATACAAAACGAAAGTCACCCACAAAAACTTCAAAACTGCACAAAACAGTCAAACTACAGCTACAAACTCTAAACATAATACCACTCATACACACACAAGAATACTCACATCTAAAGGACGCACACCATCATTCAGACATTAAAGTGTTCGAGACAGAGCCGATGCACCGAGCGTCATGCCGCTATATTGACCGAAGTGTTCGTGACTCACTCGGTGTGCAAACGCGCTCCTCTTGTGGTGAAAAGGAGTATGACAATGAACAACAACTAATAATATAACAAGACTAAATGTCTTCTATACAAGAGGCATTCCTGGATGGGAGGCAGTTAATGCTTCAGCAGGGTACCTGGTTGGTCTGAACAGATCTATAACTGCTCTCAAATACTGAAGTGGCAGATATTTTGAGGCTGTACAGCTGCTTAAACATCGTTGACCAGACCCCCACCAGATACACCTTCAAAAGTAAAAAAAAACAACAACAACATAACAAACAACATAAAATAAAATAAAAAAATCATATTATTGTGTTTTTTTTGTTGTTTTTTTCTCTCCCTTCACCCTGCATGATCGGCAAAAGAGAACTGAGCTAGATTCAGGGCACACATCTTCCTGGGCAGATCACTGTGAGCTTATTCCCTGTGTTTTTAAAGTTTCATTCATGTTAATTCACCATTCATCATGAAGTCATTGTGTTCCTTGACTTGTTGTGTATGTTTCTGGACTTTGGACTGTCAATGGGGTTGGGATATGATGTCATATGGACTATGAATGTAAATGGGACAGATAAGGGGTGTGTCTCCAACCTTTAGCATATGTCTGTGATGGGACACGTGTTGGGTCAAAACTGCTGTGTATGTTGTGTATGTTGAAGATGCTAACTCAACAGTGATGCTGGTATAAAAGGCACGCAGTTTTTCTGTGAAGAGACTTCGAGAAGCGTTGTCGAGGGACGACCGAAGCAAAGAGACGCCGCGTAGGCGAATCATGCTAAAACAACTTGAATCAAAGAGACCAGCACCTGCCTGAACCAATAAAGAGACATGTCCGAGCGGTTTTAACTCTCCAAACCTCTTTCTTAAGATCCTCTGTTCAGGCTGCCTCCAGGAGAAGCTGACAATTTGGTGACCCGCGACGTGATCCTGATGTGGTTCCGAAGAGACTCCTAGAGGCCAAAGGTCAAGACGTTCCCCCCACGGAAATTCCAATACGCACGTGACAGAGAGCTCGTTTCAAGGAAAAGGTCAGAATTTCTGTCTCTTGAATTGATGTGATGTGCTTATTGGGACTTTTGTGGTAATATTAATTTTGAGTAAATAATTTAAAAATGATTAAACGAATCTGTGTTTAGGCTTCACGTACAAAATAAGCCAGAGTTATCTTAATTGAGTGTGTTTTATAAACTTTCACTGGGAAGAAAAAAAGCTGGTGAATCTAAAACAAAATAAATAGAATAGGCTTTAATCAGACAAAGCGTAATTAAGAAAGGTCATGGTAACGGAGGGAAAAGTAACGGAGGGAAAATTGTTCAAACAAGTAGAAGGTGTAGGATTTTACATCATTTGTCGCTTTTTTCTTCCGAATACTTTAATAATAGGAAACTATCTCTATAAAATATGTCAGTCCTTCCAAGCAAATTTTTTTCATTTTAAATACTTTTTTTTTTTTTTATTCTGTCCCTTCATCAACAGTTCAAAGATGGAATAACACAAGATATGATGAAATACATCCATTTATTTACATGATTTGCAGGTCTGTGAAATTTGGGAACTAAATTTTGTTAAACATGATCTGTTTAAAATGTATGTAACTTTAGAACCAAAAATGATACAGAAAAAAGGTCAACAGTTTGATAAACTAGAGTACATATGTATCTGTTGAATACATTTTTATGTCAGATGCATTAACTTGAATTTTTTGCCTTGCTGTTTACTTCTGCTTGACCGGGACCATGTGAAAAACCGAGCCATTTGTAATGGTCGTCAAATCACGTCTTTAGTGATACAGCAGAGGTGTCAAAAGACGTCATTAAGGAAACAAGGGAGGGTCGTCAAATGTCGTCTTCATGGGGTAAGAGTTAAACTAAATATTCAACAAACTACAAAAGCTTAAATGTACTAGTATAGGTCCACAAAAACGTTCTTGCTCGACTAAAGACGTGTCCTCACAATCAATTAGCCAATTAAAAAGGGGCGTGGCCACAACATTCAAAACTATTATGATCTGATCATGTATATGACCCTGCATGAAAGTTAAAACAAAAAACTATTAAGCAGATCTAAACTCATGATTCTCTCCCAAATAAAATGACAAGTGACAAATAAAAGTGTTGGACGACTAAGGACACCACTGACCGATCGCTGGACTAAAGCAGGGGTGTCAAACTCATTTTGGTCCGGGGGTCGTATCCAACCGACTTTGATCCCAAAGTGTCCGGATCAGAAAACTCATGTCATATAAACCCCAAAAATAACAATAAGTTCAAATATTTGTGCAGAGAAACGCAAATCTATTACAGAAATCTTTTTTAATTGATGAACTCTTTCTTATTATAATATTATAATATTATGAACAACCTGCAACTTTAAGAAAAATTCAATTTCAACACAATGTTTTAACATGAACTTGTATGTAAATAGGAATAAGTCAATTTTTGTTGTAAAATCCTGCACTCGGCTCCACTTTTCTCATGTTGGACATTTTTCTGATGAGGGTGTCACGGTCAACAGTCAAAACGATCGTCCTTTAAGAGCGTTTGGAAAGAGACAAGTCTTCATTTGTGCTGCTCTGGTGGGAGGGGCCACGTACAGAGACGCTGGAGACGCTGCTGTGATAAACACCACAGAAAATTAACAAGATTTTAATAGAAACTATAATTAAATATTTTTGTAGAAAATCACCCAAGGGCCATATTAAAGGTCTTGGGGGGCCGGATCTGGCCCCCGGGCCTTATGTTTGACACCTGTGGACTAAAGGATTACAAGCCACATACATGTATTTATCAATGCACATGTAAAAATTCCTAAATCAAAATGTGGAAAAGGGAATGTGTTTGAAAATATATCCTGCAAACGACATCTGTCTGTTTACTAATATTATTACTATTACTATTACTACAGTTTAGAAAGACAAATACAACATGAAGTTTTTTTTTGTTATGTTTTTATTGTTCAAGTGCAGAACAGTGAGGGGGGTGAGAGAGGCTCTACATGCCCAGGAGCCTCCTGTACCACCTCCTCTTTTTCTTCTTCCTGTTCCATGCTCCAGCTCCTGCTCCAGCGCCGTGCTCACCTCCTCCAGCAGGGAGCGCTGTCTTTCTGTGCTCCTCTGCTTTTCCTCCAAGGCGCTGAATCTTTGGAGCAGTAGGGAGAGCTCTGTGTTCAGCTTCTCACGGGTGTTTACCAGAGCTATTTTCTCTTCCTCTAAAGCAGTCTTCATGTGATGTTCCTGCTCTACCTGCTGGTGTAGAGCCCTGTTCTTTACAGTCAGCAGGGAGAGCTCTTCCTGAGTTGTAGCCAGGGCGTGGTCCAGTGCGCCGCACCTGTCCACCAGCAGGGAGCGCTCTGCCTCGAGGTCTTTACTGGTGTTCAACATGGTGGCCTTCTCATTTTCTAACTGTGCTCTGCCATGTTTTTCCTCTTTCACTTCCTGCTCTAGAGCACAGTTATTTGCAATGAGCAGGAAGTTCTTTTCCTCACACCTCCTCAGTTTTACCTGCACCGCATCACATGTCTCGACCTGCACCGAGAGCTGTAATTTTAGCTCATCGCAGGTCCTCAACAGGGCGGCCTTTTCATTTAGCAGGTCGTCTCTGTTCAGTTTGTCCTGCTCGACCTGCTGTTGGAGTGCAGTGGTCTTTGTCTCTAGCAGGGAGCACTCTTTCTCTGAGGTCCTGAGTAGCTCCTCTAGTCCACTGCACTTCTTCTCCAGCAGGGAGCGCTCTAAGCTTAGCTCTTGGCAGGACTTCAGAATGGTGGCATTTTCTTTCTGGAGCTCAGCAATGTTGTTTTTCTCCTGTTCCACCTCCTGCATCAGATCCTTCTTCAGAGCCCCGTACCTTTTTTTGAGGATGGAGTGCTCTTCCTGAGACCTCCTCAGGCAGTCCTGCAGCTTCTCACGGGTCTGCACAATGTTTTGGACCTGTGTCTGCATGTTCTCGAGTTCCTGGAGCTTCTGGGCCTTCAGCTCAGCCTCCTTTTGGTGTCTGAGCTCCAGAGATGACCTGTCTTTTTCAAGTTGGGCCACAATACGCTCCAGGTGAGAGTTGCGTTCTCTCAGAGCGGTATTTTCCAAAGACTTTTCCTGGAGTTTAGAATTCAGATCAGCAGAGTCCTGCTGGAGTCTCTGCTTTTCCGTTTTCCACTCTGCTGATTTTCTGCAGGAATCGTCTTCGTGTTGCTGCAACAGCGCTGTCAGGTCAGCGACCTGTTTCTCCAGTCCCTCAATATCTCGGGACTGAGGCTGGTTGTTCAGTTCATCTGGTTGGATGAACAGATCTTCTCTGGCTCTGGCCTGAGCAGCTGAGGCAGCCTGGAGTCGAGACATGACTAAAGCCATGCCCTTCTCCTCGTCCTCCTTGGACCTCTGGTGGTGTTGAGGTCCAAGCTGCTCCCGTTCTAACTCCTCAAGAGTTAGAAACTCTTGAGGATTTTGAAAGGTGTGGACCACCTGTTCTGCTGGTCCAGAGGCCTGATGTGGGTTGGTAGGTGTTAATCCCAACGCCTCCATCAGGTTGAACTCCTGGCTGTACAGGAGTTCGTCGTCCTCACTAGTGTAATCGCACCAGTCTTTGGGCATGTTTGTCTGTGGTGAGTCTCTGTGTCTCGGTCGAAGTCTGAATAGAAGTGATTTTACACTGGAACTTGTGCTACACTTATATAAATGAACAAGTGAAGCTTTATGATGTCATAAAGTAGAAATAGAATGTGGAACGTGTTGCCAGGTGACGCCAGGTGTTGCCAGGTGCTGTCATGTGATCAGGTCAGGTCAGGTGATTCCATAGTTGCCATAGTTACATATGAATTCCAGTATATCACAGATTTATTTGAAAGTGTTTTTAAAGGTTAAATATGTATTTTTGTGGTGTTTGAAGCGTCTGTCGTCTCCACGTGCTTTTCTCTGTGCAGACAACCAACCTTACAATATGACCGACACCACACAAAGAGAGTTCTCCTGCCAAGATCTGGATCTTTTTATGAATAGTATTTGGAAACATATTTTCGTATGTGATTATTCCACATTATTTCTATAAAAAAAAAAAAAAAAAGTTTAATAGATTTTAAAGTTCCTCTTGTACCGGAGCCAGAACATGTACAACTTACTTGTTGTCCGTTGAAAGGAACGTGTGGATGTGGAGACGTAGTCAAGAGTGGTTGGATTGCGATGTGCTTCGCTTCAGTGACACGGAGTTCATTAAATATTTTCGTATGACGAGAAGAATGTTTGTGTACATTTGTGGCTTGTTGATAACATGTAGGTCAGCTGAATGCGACCTGGCCGTTCAAAAATGTAAAAACTCATGTCGGTAACGGAGGGAATGAAATATGCAGCACTTTTTGGGCAATAAATCCAAACAGTGATAACTCTTGGTTCTCACTTACATATCCTTAACAAACTGGTTTGAATATTTGCTTCATATAGTTTTCTACCATATGGTACAAGATTAGGTTGAAAAACCTCTTACTTTTTGACTCATGAGATTTTTTATTAACAAAGTTATTAATTAAAAGGTTCTGTGTTTAAAGGCCTTCACGAGAGAGAAAATTAGAAAATTAGGCTGTTTATATAAGAAAATTTGTGGTTAAACTTTTACGCAGAAAAAAAAAAGTTTTAATGAAGTTTATATAAAAAAGAATAAAAAACTTAAGTTGTGCAGAAAAAGTAGAACACGAATAAAGGAGTCAGATTTAATATAGAGACAAAAGAATAGGACCAATTACAAAACAGTAGGCCTACTGTAAATTAAAATCTAAATTGTTGCGACAAAAAAGTATTAGTGGTTTTTATTTACATTGAGCCCTAAAAGAAACCGAACCTGTTCAAGCGAAGTTATATTTAACATTAATATGAAATTATAAATGACTGAAGGTCTAAAAAGAAGCCAAGCTTGTTCAAATGAACATGAAGTTGTTACAATTGACCGAAGGTCAATAAAACAAGTGAACTCTGCAAAGCAGAGAGTGTGTCGCCCTCCCCATGGCAACACATGAGCAACTAAGAAATAAGTAACATTTAAAATTGTAAGTCTTAACTTTAAAATTTGTAACACCAAATGCCATGTACGCAAGAAATAAGTCAAATAAGTTTAATAAGTGTTGCTAGTGGATCTGATATAACCATGAAATAGTGAAAGAAATAACCAGTTGGGGAGTAACAGATTACAAGTACCAGCATTATGTAATCAGAGTACAAATTATGAGTAACTGTGCTTAGTTAAAGTTACTGTCTCAATGAGTAGTAACTGGATTACAGTTACTTTTGTTAAAATAAATGACTTGCAGTATTTTTTTGTTTTTACATTCGAGACTGAACCAGGTCTAAGTCAGGACTAAATGAAGATAAGATAACAGTAAAGTGGCAGTAAACTCACATAGGAAGCATTTCTCTATCAATAATTTCCATAGGCTTAAAGAAAAACTGAGGTTTTTATCTTAAAGTAGATAAAACATTCCACACCAAGATATTCTGGTCTCGTTATTTTATAACAAACAGTGGTTGATAGAGACTTAGGCTCAGCAATTTAAAAGAGAACAAGAATTTGCAGGATGTGTTTGCTCCATTCATCTAGTTTGAATTACTTGATATTGTCTTGGTTTTTAAAGTATTCAGATAAAGTTACTCACTTTAAGTGATTTAAAGGGTCAAGTTTTCAAACTACAATCTGGGCTATGTAATCTGTAATCTGTAGGGGAATACGTTTTAAAAAGTGACCCTCCCAACACTAAAATAACTGAGAACCTGTGACCGTCTAAACTCATCTAATGTCGCTAAAATATTGAAGGATCAAAATGAATAGGGCATGTTAAAAAGATCTGGAAGAGAAGTTTTGGCTATGTTTTATGTAACGTTAATTTTGAGGCTAGGCGACAGGATGTTAAATAGGACAATAAAAAGTTCATTAAAGGAGCACAGGGTATAATAACAACCAGCAGTCAAAAATGTTGATTATTATAAATGTATTAAAAGTAAAATGATAGGCAAAGATAAATTATGAGCAAATAAAGCACAAAAGTTCAAGTCCCTAATAAATAAATAGAGTCGATAAACAAAAGTAGTAAATTTTCGTTTGTTTTATTATGATTATAATCTGCAGTTTGAGAAAACAGTTTATATAAATCCACGGTCCAAAAATCCAAAATAGTCTGTCCCACCACACAGATTCTTTGCTCGTTATCTGGAGAGTTTGTTGAGTCGAGGTTGTTTTTCAAGTCACAGAATCCATCCATAGGAAATCTGACCTAAAAGACCAAAAACACAAATAAGTATATCATTCAAAATAAGTACTTTTGTTACTTTAATGTTACCACTATGAACAAATTAAATTAAGTATAGGTAAAACATGCATAGGAAATTATACAGAGTTATGGCATTAAATCATCAAATCAAAGGTATAATGTATATATAATTAATTAATGATAATTAATTATTCATCCTAGTATTGATCTAAAATTCATTTGAATTAAGTAAACTATGTGTAAATAAATCATTTGCTATAGCATTCAAAAATATTCAGTCACGTTATTAAAGATGAGTGCATTTAGTTTGTATTCATCAAAATGTCAATTCCAAATACTGGTTAAAAATACCCAGACAGAGATTGTAGTTAGATCGAGTTCAGAAATAAAAGTGTTGCGTAACAAACGTTAAAAAAATAATCACGGAGCTACATTTGTAAGTTGTGAATGAGTTCGATTGTACACGAAGCTCTTCGGACAATATAGCGTTCCCCCATTAAACTGTAAAAACTAGGGCAAATACATTATGGGCAGTTCATACATTTTACTTTTAGTTACCGGTAAGTTAAGGGGTAGTTAAAGGACTCATTAACGATCTTGTCAAATAAAACATACTAGCGACATTTTTCACGGTTGAAATTTAATATAGGAGTTATTCACATAATGACAAAAGGCTCACCTTAACAGGACAGTTGAAATACGCCGTTATTTAGAGTTCCGGATTTTGTTTAAGTTTGTTTTGACAAACCACGTCAGCTGAGAGCGACGGGAAGTAAAGTGCGTGTACCTAAAGGAAGTGGAAAGTGCGGCAACAGAACAGGAAGTGAACCCGCCAAAATAAAGTCACCAAAATAAAAGTCCGCTAAAATAAAAGTCTGTATTAGATACAGGTTACATTTAATCGCTGTTATTTCTGTCCCTTCTGATTTTAGATAATACACTAATTATTGCTAAAATATTAAAGGCACTGTATTTAAATTCTGATGGCATTCTGTCTTGGGTTGCACTCCAGTTGCCCGTTGGTTGGCATAGTATAAATGGCATAGTGTATGTTGTTGTGGTTGTAAAAACATTTTGTATGTGTTTTCCTGTCGGTGCTTGTTGCTTACTGCTGTGGTGCGAGGCTGTTGTTGTGACGTGACGTGTGACGTGAGTTGGTGTGTCGGGAGATAACAGGCGGATACACTCTTGGGAATTGTTTTGGATTTGTTTGAAAATGTTCTGTTTAAAAATGTAATTAAGTATGTTTAATTGTATTCAAGTAATAGAGTAACTTTAACCTATTTTGAATTTGCTCGTTTTTCTTAAATTCTAACCTGGTATTATTAATTTAGTATTGATTAAAATTGCTTGTAGCTTTTATATACTATTTATGGTTAAAGAAACATTGTTGAATTGTGATATTGTTGAAAAATTCCAAACAATGTTGTTAATTGGTAAAAGAGAAGCTTTGAGTAGTCTTAAAGCAACATTTTCTTTGAATTTAATTGACATTATTGCTTTGAATTTAGTAATAACCCTTTGTTACAATTAAATTGATAAAGTCTTTCACGTTTAAACAATAGGCATGTGTAAGATCAGTTGATGGAGCATTTTGATTAAATCCAACATCTTCTTAAGAGTGTGGGGGATGGATGAGTGTTGATTGACAGCAGGTAGACATATATACATTTTGTGGATAGAGACATGTGTGGACAGGGACATGTGGGGACAGGAACATGTTTGTGTACATTTTAACATGGCACAAACACAGGAAGACGTTCAAAATGTCTTCTGTCTATTCTCTGATTTGTTTCTGAAGACATTTGTGTTTGGGCGTGAGCTCTGTGCAGCTGCATGGTCCCCTCTGCTCCTTCAGCTCTTTGTATGTAACCGTTTCAGAAAGAGGAGCCGTGTGCAAACATCACATGATGCAGAACGCAGAGCTGAGAGCGTCATGAACCAGAGCTGGACCCACCGTCTGATCAACAGAGGGAAGTATTTCTACACAAAGTAACTCTGTGTTTTGATGTTTGTATTGTATTCAGGTCAGATCCCAAATGATCAAACTCTTGACCTGTGCCCCCTGGGCTCTGCTGTGGTGCTGCAGGACACCGAGCGTCCCTCCTCTGTGTCCTTTTGGTTCTTCCACAGGATCTGCTGACCCTCCAACACTGGAACTCCTCAGGGTTGTGTACTGTCACCTCTCCTTTTTATTCTGTACACGGACAGCTGCAGATCCTCAGAGGAAAATCGACGCCTAATCAGATATTCAGATGACACGGTCCTGGTGTCACTGCTTTCAGGATCTGAGAGAAATCATGGTCCTGCACTGGAGCAGTTTGTCCAGTGGTGTGAGGACAACTACCTGGATTTGAACGTTGCCAAAACTAAGGACATGGTGATTGATTTTAGACGTGCACCTTCACACAGTGTCAGTGTCATCCACGGTGATGATGTTGAAATAGTTGATAGCTACAAATATCTGGGCACCGTGATGGACAATAAACTGAAATTTGACCTAAACACTGAAAGCATTACATCACGCTGATGTCTTACATCATCGTACCAATGACTTACATCGGTGCGACGACAAAGAAAATCAGGAGGGTGATTCCAGTCAACACCAAGACAATGACAAACACCCACCCACGCAATTAAAAAATATTATTTTTGCCCAGCCCTAATATATATATATATATATATATATATATATATATATATATATATATATATATATATATATATATATATATATATATATATATAAATAGGGCTGGGCAAAAATATTTTTTTAAAATCACGATTAATCGCATGAGTTCGAGCGATTAATCGCAATTAATTGCATGTTATACGCAAAACCAATTAATGAATTAAAAAGTAGAGTATAGCGCTCTTTTATTGGAAATGTAAATGAAAGAGCCAAACATTTGTTGTGCAAACAGCATTTCTTTCACAGGGGAACCTCAGAGCCTTCAAAGTATTCAGGGAAGACTCAAGAAAAAATATTGAATGGACATTTGTACTAATATATTTACTGAATATTTTTTATGCTGTGAGTAATGAACACTACACTTTCTAGTGTTTCTTGTGTAATTTCTAGATCAGTGTTATAAACTTGGACTGATATTTCTTAGGAAACAAAGGGTTAATATAATGGAATGGAAATGGACCAATCACAATTTTTTCTTCCAATGGTATCTGGGTAAATCAGTGACTCCAGCACTGAACTAAAGAAATAAGCTCAGCTCAGAGCCGGTGCCCGCGGCTGAACCCGCGGCCGGAGCCGGAGCCCGCGGCCGGAGTCGCGACGGGAGTCGGAGCCTGCGACCCACGGAGGCTCGGGCACGTTGCATCTCACGTGGTCAGAAAAAAGTGAAAGAAGTGTAAAGAAAAGACGTCAAACTTAAAGAAACGCTCACTGTGGACTTTTTCAAAATAAAAGCCAGTGAGAAACAGACGTTTACAATAAAATAAATAATAAAAACTGCGTTAACGGCGTTAAAATAATTGTCGGTATTAATGACTTAATTAGTTAACGTGCCTGGCCCTAATATATATATATATATATATATATATATATATATATATATATATATATATATATATATATATATGAAATTAAAACTTTTTGAGGCAACTGTAGAAGCTTGTCAGAGATGTTGATTATCAAAAAAGTTGTTATTGTTAGGTGGTTAACTTGATAAAATGATAAATAAATATAATGAAATGACAGTTACGTTGAAGTTCCTCCGCCATAAAATAACACTGGTATCATTTTGGGCTCTATTTTTTGTCTGACTTCAGACTACTTCACCTATACCTATATTTGAGATTTTGCTCAGTAGGCCATATTTTAGTAAAACATTTGTATTTTTGACCCTTCATTTGTGTCTTTTATCACTGACATTGTGTTAACGCAGCAGCTCGGCTCTAACATCAACACATGACCCTGTTTTACGTCCTTCACTGGAGCCTCTGTGTTTTAGAATTGATTTTAACATTTTACTGATCACTTATTTAGGTCTTATCAAGTTACATTTCAGAAATTTTAACCCTGTATGATCCTCAGGCAGGTCCCTGTGTCTGTTCCAAAGTCCAGGCTCTGGACAGAGGTGATGGAGTCTTTTCAGTCCGGGTGCCTTGGAACGAGCTGCCTGAGGAGATAAGACTCCAACATCAGTAACATCTTTTAAATCACTTCTTAAAACTCATTTTTATGAGTTGGTCTTCCTTTAACTGGTTTTAGCTTTTTTTTTTTAGATTTTATTCCAAATATTCTTTTATTCTATTTCTATTTATTTAATATAATTTATTGAATTGTTTTCATCATTGTCTGTTTTTGTGTGCCTCCTGTGTGCTATTTTTATACTTTTTGTATTGTTCTTTGCTGCACTATGTAAGCCTTGTTTTTAAAATTATTATTATTATTATTATTATTATTATTATTAATAATAATAATATTATTATTAATAATAATTATTATTATTATATCATTATTATTATTAGAAGTAGTAGTAGTAGTAGTAGTAGTAGTAGTAGTAACCAGTTTATCTTTGAAGTGTTTTGAGAAAGATAGATCGACTGTATTTCATAGAGCACACTCAGGGCTTTCTGCTGATATGTGATTTGTTTGGCTGCGACTTTTGAAACCACTTTTTCTTCCATCCATCCATCCATTTCGTCCGCTTATCCGGGGCCTAGTCCCTCCAGCGTGTCCTGGGTCTTCCCCGGGGCCTCCTCCCGGTGGGACATGCCCGGAACACCTCCCGAGGGAGGCGCCCAGGAGGCATCCGGAACAGATGCCCGAGCCACCTCAACTGGCTCCTCTCGACGTGGAGGAGCAGCGGCTCTACTCCGAGCTCCTCCCGTGTGACTGAGCTCCTCACCCTATCTCTAAGGGAGCGCCCAGCCACCCTGCGGAGGAAACCCATTTCAAGCGCTTGTATCCGCGATCTCGTCCTTTCGGTCACTACCCAGAGCTCATGACCATAGGTGAGAGTAGGAACGAAGACTGACCGGTAAATCGAGAGCTTCGCCTTTCGACTCAGCTCCCTCTTCACCACAACGGTCCGATACAGCGACCACATCACTGCCGAAGCTGCACCGATCCGCCTGTCAATCTCACGTTCCGTCCTCCCCTCACTCGTGAACAAGACCCCGAGATACTTGAACTCCTCCACTTGAGGCAAAGACTCCCCACCCACCCGGAGAGGGCAAGCCACCTTTTTCCGGTCGAGAACCATGGCCTCAGACTTAGAAGAGCTGATCCTCATCCCAACCGCTTCACACTCGGCTGCAAACCGCCCCAGTGCACATTGCAGGTCCTGGTTCGATGAAGCTAACAGGACAACATCATCCGCAAACAGCAGAGATGAAATCCTGTGGTCCCCAAACCGGACCCCCTCCGGCCCCTGACTGCGCCTAGAAATTCTGTCCATAAACACAATGAACAGAACCGGTGACAAAGGGCAGCCCTGGCGGAGTCCAACATGCACCGGGAACAGGTCTGACTTACTGCCGGCAATGAACACAGCTCCTGCTCCGGTCATACAGGGACCGGACAGCCCTTAGCAAAGGGCCCCGGACCCCATACTCCCAGAGCACCCCCCACAGGACACCACGAGGGACACGGTCGAATGCCTTCTCCAAGTCCACAAAGCACATGTGGACTGGTTGGGCAAACTCCCATGAACCCTCGAGCACCTATGGAGAGTGTAGAGCTGGTCCAGTGTTCCACGGCCAGGATGAAAACCACACTGCTCTTCCTGGATCCGAGGTTCGACTATCGGCCGGATTCTCCTCTCCAGTACCCTGG